ATGATTACAGAGACGCAACCAATACAAAAATAAATTGTATCATTGATAGTAAAAAGAATAGATTTTTTAAAGAAATAGTCGATGATTTTAAACTCAAGATCTCAGGGAAGATAAAGAATGAATGTATGTGCACTATTTAGACCGATTCTAGATCATATAGCAGTATATCTCCAACCATTGGTTACAACAGTCGCGCGGATACCAGTCCGGTAGTCTGGACGCGTCAACATAGCTCAGTCAAGTAGTCAATGATTGTATGAACTGATACCACATTTTCGACTGACAGCCCTTAGCTTTCTCCTAACATATTCCTACACCAGAAATCACATGTCGAGGTAGGTAATAGTTAGGTGTATGTAGTATACATCCCAAGAAACTTAGTCGATGAAGATTTATTATCTAGTCCATCATTTTGCAGTTGTCACCTAATACTTTGCATCCAACAAAGATACAAACTTCAAACGATTAACGTTTGATGATTACGTGCAAAATACTCAATTAAATACGATCAGGTGACATCACAAAATGAGTCCAAGTTATTTTAAAAACAATAATGTATATACAAATTAAGACAACTGACTACCCATTATATAAAAATATTCATTACGCCATTCACTTTGTTGGTTATTTCATCGACCACGGATCTGATTAAAGTAGAAGATATTGCTTGACAAATTGGTAACAAGCGTGAGACCAACATTTTATTCTTATTTAAAAATATCTCAGTAATGCGTACAATCTCTCACTTCCCACTCGTTATGGTTTCGAAATCACAACTCATGGGCCATAGCTACAGATTATCGATGAATCCAAAAACCAATGTCTCGTAACTATTGATTTTGTTTCTTAAATAATAAAGTCCTTAGTCTTAAGTAATTTGATTTACTTATAATTGTGGCAACCTAGTAATAATGACACCCCATTAGGGTATCACGAGGTTAATCTCCACAATATAATTCAGTAGTGTATTATTGAAGGTATTGATTTTAAGTAGGTAGTTTTTATATATCAAGAAATGACTTCAAACTAAATGAATAATTTCGATGAAACTTAGTAACTGAGTTTCAGTCAGTCAATTTTCTGAACGAAAATCGAAAGCAACGATTGGGAAGAACAAAATTTTTTTGTAAAGATGAAAGTAATCGATAACAAACAAAAAGAAAACAGAATTAAGAGTTATTGATGAAAGTAAGATAGAGTTATTCCATTTTATATGAAGTTTAGTCGATAAGTTTGTTGTTTTTGCTATCGAATAGTATATATATATATATATAATAATTATTATTACACCTATGCTGAGAGGTGGTACTCCTTGCAGTATACAATCTTTTTGAAACTCAATATATTTTCATCAACTTACTCAGTCAGTCAGTAACAACGTAGAACTTCATATGTACGTACATGCCACATTAGCACAGAGATACAGTTGTCGATTCAAATCCCGTAGTGGTAGAGGTAGTAAGAGTATAAGCAGTAATCGGGAAGATTAGGGTTTGGAGATGTTATTCAAGGAGTATAATACAATGAAATAAATTTGGAAAGAGAAAAAAGAAAGGGACATGAAGAATTCAGAAGATTAGAATTTGGGAGGACACAAAGAGTGGATGCACCTGCGCCATTGCAAACGATTTTGAGCCATGTCATTCAGGGTCTTTAACCATCAGTTGCTATCATCTCGTGGTCCCCAACCAGGTAGTCTACACCTACCAACATGACTCAGTCCACTTGTCAGTGACTTCATGGACTTGTGCCATGTTTTGGTCTGGCCACCCCTAGCTTTCTTCTAACCTACTCCTATACCACTGAACATCGCACGCCGAGGCAGTCGGTGGTTAGGCATACGTAACACGCGTCCCAGCCATCTCAACTGATGAAGTTTCACTACGTCATCAATGGATTTGCCATCCTTACCTAGTACTCCTTTCCTAACAACTGCGTTACTTACTCGATGGTTTCAGGATATACGAGCAATGTTTCGAAGACACCTATGATCAAATACTAGTAACCTACGAATATCCTCTACTCTTACCGGCCATCAACTTACTATATAATGTGAAATGTTATAAACATTAAAAGCTTAATATATACAGTTTGATGATTAAATAATTTTATAGTTTAGTAAACTATCAAATCCAACAATCTATACAAACTGTTTACTTTAATAATTGACTACTCATCAAGCGAATACAACAGTTATGTTAACTTGTAGAACTAAAATAAATTTAATGACATGCTACTCTATAGAAGAGATGTACAATGTACCTTAGTTTACAATGACATCTCTATTGAGACTAATCTATAACAAATAACATCTACAATTGAAACTATTGTAACTCTATTCAGAAATAGATTCAATTGAGAATTTATACATAAAATGGTATTTTAAACTAAATTATTAAAAAGAGTGCATTGTTTATTGCTTGATGTCACGCTAATCGGTAAAAAAAGACAAACAAACGTTGAGTAAATCGGGTCAACTCATTCAATCAGTTCATTAAAATTTGAACTTTAAGTCAATTATCCAGATATTGACACTTCTAATTGATCATTGAATTATCACTTAATTGACACTACAAAGAAATGATCTTCGAATCAAGGTTAAATTGAATTACTTTTTTTTAAAAAAATAAAAAGTATCATATTGACTTTAATGAAATTGGATATTTGGAAATCACTTTATATTTAAAGGGCCAAATTTGATTAGAAGAATATTCATTAGATGATAAGAAATTATTTGATAACTGAAAATTAATAAAGTTTAGGGAAAAAATAAATTGTATGATACTCACTCTTATACTGTTTCATTTATCTGTTGGTCAAGAATCAAGTTCGTGAAGAAACTTATTAAAGGTGGATCCTATTATAACTTAATATTAAGTGGGGAACCTATGGAAGCCAATGAGCAATGGGCAGCTGACTTCTAGACTTTTGAATAGTGTGTTTGGGAGGTGGTACAACTTAGTGGTTTAGTACGTTATTAGATATAACTCAGAATGAAAGCTATTCTAATCTTCCATTAAACTATCATAATAGTGAGACGAATTTCATTACCTGGAAGAAATTCCTGCTGGTCGTATTTTGAACTGAATAACACCTCTCACTAAACACTACATTTTTCCATTTAATTATCAAATATACGACTCTCCTCATCTTTATTTCCTCACAATATCATCGCTTTATTTAATACATTATTTGGTTCACCAATGTGTCAGGGCAAAAGATAATAAGAATTAGCAATTTTCACTCCAGTCAGTCAGAGATATTGTGCCACTATCACAAACTGTTACCATGGAAAAAATGTTTCACTTCTCACATGCTTTTTGATCCGAAAAGTCACAACTCAGGAAATCTACGAAACAATTAGTCCTTAATGAACATTCATTAAAAATTATAAAATTACGTAATAAGTGTTGAGATAACTAGATAGTGAAGCATATATTAAGAAAAAAAGGGCATGAAGAAAAATGAACGAACAAAGAGCATGAAAAGTAATCGTAAAATCGTTCGTTGAAGCTAACTGGGTCAAGGAAGAGATAGACGTGTTAAGAATTTCTTTTGAACACAAAGATTTGGATTGTTAACTAGAATCCCTGTAGCTTCTAATATATGTAAGAGACAAGATCAAAAGCCACAAGTAAAGTTAGTAGGTATACGACAAGTTACTCTCATCACACTATCAATTTGTAATTTTTGTTCATTTGCGTACTCTATTCCACTCAAAAATTACCTTGATTAGTCCAATAATTTCATATGTGCATATAAGTATTAATTCTTAGTAGAGAAAAGCCGGATGAGGGTCCAATTGCGAACAATATTGTTCGCTTAATATAAGTTGGCAAACGCTAATGCAGTTTTTCCAATCCATTTTGAGATTTTGTCAGGTACTAATATACCAGGATTAATGAGACATACATAATAAGTGAAGTGTATCGTGTCAAAAGCAACATAATTTCGAATTCTGACTTTCCTAATAATAAGAGAGTTGAAAAATGAAAGAAACCAAGCAAAAACGTAAGTTAAAACAACAAAGTAGCTGATAGCACCAGAACGATAGTAAGAATTAAAAATATATATATAATACGGAGGCATATAATTTTGACCACATTTTAGTATAATTACTTCTATAATATTATGAAGTTAGTATATTTTAGATGTAAATGAGTAACAGATCGATACCGGCGGCATTCTACAATTTCAACTAACTAACACGTGATGCTCCCAGACGTGAGAGTAATATTTACGCAAAACTAAAAAGAACCACAGTCAATAAGAAAAATGGAATAATCGTTACAGTAAGCAGTATTACCAAAACACTTAACATTACTTTTGAATATAAATGGAATGAAAATTCATGTAATTATAACTTCAACAATAAGTAACGGTTTAGTGGCATCTAAATGCCTTAGTATGGCCGAGGCTGGAGAGAGTTTGCTCTCACTCTCATCATATGACCATATGTAAATAACTATTACCAAGGAAGTCCAACTCACTCCCTTATCGTAACGGGGATGTTGTTTAAGAAACTGAGAGGATTAAAACCGTGTTGATACATACGAAGGATCCATTTAAGAGTTGAGAAACCTTGATTCCAAACCAATCGTCCACATGGACTTCAGGATCCTGAGGGAATGAATGGCGCATGAACCTATTGTTGGTCACCGGCTACCATGGGATTGCATCTCCTAATGTTGCTCCACTGCTTTGTGGATTAGACCTCTGGGTGGAGTTGGGGAGTGGCCCACTGAGAACTCCAGCAGCATTCCAGCCCACATACAAACTCAATGATTTGTGTAGGAAACAAATATTTTGGTTCCCCTTTGTATTAATGTTTATGCGTTTAATTAGATAAATAAATAATGATTTACTGGGTCGTTTTATTTGAATATGAGTCAACGAGTTGCATGTTTGAATCCCACTTCATTAGTTTCATTTAAAACTGCCCGATATTATCAAGAGACTATATAATTAACGAAGTATATAAAACTTATACTTGGTTTGCCAGTAACTGTAAACTAGTACTACACTAGTCCATTATCAATCTGAAACAATAATTTATGACTGTAAATATGAAAGCAAATGAATATGGATTTAGGGGAGGCGAATTTCAATCACGTTAACACAGTAACAAAATAAACAAACTAACTAATTCACTCGACAGTAATATCCCATAAATATAAGATGATGCTTACTTTAACTAACTGAAATTTGGATAAAAATCACTTAAATAAAACAATACTCATAAGATACATGAGTATAAAATCAAACTATCAAAAAGAAAGCGAAAAAATAATAATATACTTAATAATACAAACATCCTCAATTCATTAAACAAACAATCAACCGATTACAACAATCCCAACTACTTTTCAATATTGAATACAAACAAAAGGCAATAGAATGAAAACAATAATTGATTAAGAAATATGTATATATGTATTTATAAATTTTCTTTTAGTGAAGTAAACCAACATTATCATTTCACATAAAACTTCTAATCTATTTTTTTCCTCTTTTACTCAAGATTGATTAGACTAAACAATCACAAATAACAAATAATGCTGTTTATCATAAGTTTTGTATATAACTTCAAATGATAATGATAGAAAATTTGGACATAAATCGTAAATACAAGCGACCAAACAACCTCAGTTCATAATTTTACACATGCTGAAATACATACATTATTAAAGAGAATAATTTATCACACTTTACTCTTCTATTAAATTACACTATTAAAGAAATGAACAGTTAGTTGAAAAGAATAATATCCGCAAAAACAAGCAATAATTGAGTGAAAACAGACGATCAAAAAGAAAAACTGTTAATTGTTGTATCATAAGCAATGATCATAATGAGAACAGTTGATAGTTAGTTGACAGTAGGGATGTGTTTTTTTTTAGTTGGTTAATAATGATCGCGTACTGTTACACAGGCACATGATGGAACATGTTAATAATTAGCATAATTTCTAATCAAAATTATAGAACAAATGAAAAACAAAACAAAAAAAAAACCCACAGAGACGATGAAAAGGTGAAAAACAATGTTTTTACAATTTTTATTCAATAAATAAAGGGAGAAAAAAAGAAACAAATCATGACAAATAAAAGAGAGAAACAAAACAACATTGAAAAAAAAAGAGGAAAAAAAAGCACAAATCAAAAATAATTGAAGAAAGAGAAGAAGAAAAAAAAACACTCCAAAGACAAAAATTACGGGGGAAAACATCATTTATAAACAAAAGACATTGGAATTCCTCTGTTTAACATGATAGATAACTTTGAATTATACCATAAAAGTGATATTATGAATAAAATTGAAAATATAAACCAATTGTTGAGTAGGCGCATAAATAAATAAATAATTGAACGTTGAATAGTTTAATTAATGTCACCAGTTAGTATGAGTTTATCACTTGCATTTTCTTTTCACAATATTTATAATTATCCAATAACTGGCAAAGAGAACAATACTATTTTTGATAAAAACAAAGCAAAAATTAAATGAGATAAATAAATGAACAAGTCAATATTATCAATGGCTTTATTCAATATAATATAAGATGAAAGACAAATTTAGCACAGAAAATATTGTTTTGATAAATAAATACACACAGAATAAGCATTCAGATGTGATTTTTCGTGTGCTCCCACCAACCAGTCAACTAACCCACATCAATTTTATGTGAAAAAAAAGGAATAAGAAAATGTTTCATCATCATCATCATCATCATCATTATCGCCGGCCTTAGTAGTAATACGTTAACGACGTAAAATTAATTATGTGGATAGACAAAAAAGAGCTGATAATCATTATGTTTAACGTCATACAAGAGATAATGAAGGAATGAACATCTAGTGGGTAACAGAGACACACAGAGAGAGAGAGAGAGAGAGAAAAATTCAGTCCAATGTGATGAGTCATCGTACATTATAGAAGGGAGGAGATATAATCGCATACATGTATTTTTGTGAACCGAATAATGCCTAATCGATAATTGAAGATATACCCATATGACTAATAAGAACAGAAGGAATAATATACGAAATTGAAAGCCAATTTTAAGACTGATGAATTGACATTATTCATATACACATTAAAGCAACTATAAATTAGCACCCATTGAAGAAAGAATAATAATAAATTACATTAAATAAAATGTCATGATCGATTTTATGCCAGAAAGAAACAAGCAGTAAATAATGATAATCAACCGTTTCACATTTTAATTGCTTATCATGATAACGCTTTGAAGGACATTATAAAAACACATAAACATGCATACACAGAAACACATATATGAGTGAACTGTGAAAACCAAACGGAAATTGTCACACAAAAGAAAAAACCAAGCAAGAAATACAATAAAAATATAACTATGGCGCAAATAAATTGTTTAGATGGGAAAGTGGAGAGTGGAATAAAGATGAAGAAGCAATCGGTCACAAATAGAGAATGAATATACAAGCACACACATATATACTAGTATCGTACTTCTATGAAGCTAGAAAAAATCATAGGAGACAGATGATTGAGAGAGAAAAGTAAATGGAGAGTAAGAAGTGCCAAATGAGAGTAGCGAAGATAATAATAGGTCTGGGAAGCATCCAGTTTATCAGTTAGCATAAGAAAGTTAAAAACTGTAGAATACAGTAAATGCCAAATAAAGCAATAAAATAATGATGATGATAATAACAACAATAACAGCAATGCAATACAAAGAAGGGAGACAAGATTCTTATTTCTTTGAATGTCAATATTAGAAATTGACAGATGGAAATGTCACTTTTCTGAACCATTCAAATATGATAGTGAAAAGTTTATGGTGCATACATATGTGTACGCTTGCTATGAGGACACAAAAAAAGTTCAAGAGTTCAATACAGATAAGCAGAAGAATACAACAAAGGAACTAAACGAAAACTGAAGAAAAGCATACAAAGAAATTACTAACAAAAAGATGAAAGAGAAAGGACAGTGATATATTTAAATTCTAAATGCGACCGGGATGTAATTTACTGATAGTAGATTGAGGCCTGTTTTTTTCTCTTTATCACTTAGCTTATTTTATAACATATTTCGTTGTAATTATAATGTACATATTTTGACAAATAACAAGAAACCAAGCTAATGATGTCCCATATTACCACTGCTATCTCCTCCTGTAGAAATATTCGAATTTGACGACGGCTTAAGCTTTTGCAATTGACTCCTAGTCGGATTTGCTTTGCACATTTCTAATTGGCGCGATGTAGTAGCGTTAGTAGTAGTAGTAGTACATCGCTGGGAATCAGTCATTTGAGATATATTGTTAAGCTTATTATTATTGTTATTATTGTTTAATGTAGACGAATTAGATGGAGTATTTAATAAAGTACGAGCATTTGATTTCGAAACATGTGAACCAATACCACTGCCACCATTACTACGTCGTAGATTAGACAAAGCGTTTTTAAATCGACCACTACGTACTACAGCTTGTGAACTTATTTGATTTTCAGAATTTGTTTTAGGATGAATTGATCCAGTTTCTGTGGATAAACAAACAATATTTGCCTCAGAGTTATTATGACCATTTGAACGTAGATTAGATTTTGAAGCAGACGGTAGTCTTGACGGTATAGGACGTTGATTAGGCAGATGGTGTTGAGGATAACAGTGATTATTTGATGACAATGATGATGATGTTGTGGTATTTGAAGATTTTGTTGAAGATAATGTTGTTGTTTGTATAGGTGATGATACTGACGGAATACGACTATTATTATTATTATTATTGGAATTGCCATTGAAAATCATTTGTCGACGAGTGACAACTGTAGCAGGAGGAATATTTGAACGTCCAGTCTGAAATATTGATAAGTAAAGAAAACGATTATTTGTACGAAATAGGAAAAAGGTGTATTACGTAGTTATTTTTTCTTAAATACAATAATGATTTCACAAGGTACAGTGGAGGAGACAATAAAAAAAACTCAAACTCAAGGTACCTCATCTAACACTAATAACATAAACCAATGAAATTACTGACAAAAAAAAAGAACTATAGCATAGAATTACATCTGTGCAAAATCAGACTGATAGAAATTAAGCGGTTTAGTGGCTTTTTTGCTAGTAATCTTAATTCACGCTTCCACATAGGAACAAACGAATTTGGATAAGTTCTTAAATATAACTTCGTGTATGATATGTAACAACCATATTGGTAAATCGTTTCAGTTAGGATTTTAAACGAAGCATTAACAAGAATTTGCTTTATCGATGAATAACAATAAAGATTAAACCTAGTTAATGTGTTTCGTTGCAGATATCCACTACGAATATGAGTAAGTGTAAGAATTAAAAGAACTTATTTTGATATGGAGGTTGAGATTATTGATAAGTAGGGTTAAAACTTAGCGGTTTGAACAGGCAAAATCTTAACACTTTAAAAATAGTTCCATATATGAATATTTAGATAAAGTAGTTTCTCTGGATATGTAAAAATAGTGCCTCATGATAAGAAGCATAGATTTCCCAGCAATCCATCGGTTGAACTTACCTTTATTTAACTTTAAAGAGATATGCTGTGATGTTGTAAACATTTGTGAAGCAAGAGTACCAATAGTTAAGTGAAAACCATAGTAATTAAGAAGGAATGTTAATTCAATGTGTTGTTCTGAAATATTCTAGGGTATCAAGGTTATTTGCCTGGAATCACTACATTACTGAGCGTTATTATTCGATGGGATTGAAAAACAAGGAAGTTAAGTACCTTATCCACTACGTATTCATTTTCTTTCATGTTTTCAGCGGTCAGTTAACGCAACTGAGTGACGTTACCTGGAAAACTACTATTAAAAGAACCGGGGTGCATTGTACACGTTTACATCATTTTTTCTAGACTCGGTAGTAAGTACATGGGGTTGAGTATTGGATCAAGCCCAGAAAGTCATGTCTTGTGGGCAGTACGAAACCCTTAAATCACTAAGCCAAGATCTATTGGAATTTAAACGTCAATAAACTTGTGATGTCGGTCGAATCCGATTACCCTTCACGTACTTAAACACTTTATATAATAAGACTGCCTTTTTGAAAAAGTAGAAGTTCCCATACAACATACCAGGTACTTAAGTGCCGTGATACCCTCATAACAATAATAAGGTGTATTTTGGCTCTATTCAATGAAATGTGAAATTCAACACTAATTGAAATGATGGAGACGATTTGTTGCTTGAAAGGAGGACTGTAGGGAGATGTGTTTATTTCCGTGGTCTGAACGATTTGACTGTGAGGCTTTGATCTTTCTAGACAAGAGGATTATAACACTTCAACTCAAAGAATGAAATACCTCAAAAGTCAACACTAATCATTTATTTATTTGATGAAAATACTGGTACAACTGGGTGCCAAAATAAATTATGTTTAGTGTACCCAAAAGCACATCGGCGAACTTCAGCATTACTAATATGATGTTGCCACTAGATGTCAGCAATCCTTCGAAGACAATGATAATCGGACACAGAGAGTCGCCGAACATCCTCAGCTCGTAAAGATCCTTTGGTTGTGGTATACCCGACTTTTTACAGCCAAACTAACATCACGACGGCGCTAAAGATGTCTCATTTCGGCACCAACTTCTCTGGCTCTCACTATAGCTAGACTGATTGCATTTGTCAAGCCACCATTAGCACTTACACAGCTCACCAGGTACACGAAATTTTCAAATACTTCTAACGGCCCACTACAAAGGGTGAGTGCTCGTACAGGCTTTTTACAGTCTTGTAAAAGCACTGGATTTAGAAAGAACGGTGACGGTGATCACCAGCTGATTAAGTATGATTCGTATAACTTGTGTATTGTTTCAGAGTAAAACCATTCAACTGCTCAAATTACGTTAGAAAGAGTTAGGTCTAAAAAAATGGATGAAGAACTTATTCAAAATTATATCGTTTATTAATGTATGTAAAATTTCAACCAAACGTTTTATAGCCGTGATTATGTTGTGGATAGAAGCCAAATATGAAGTGTAGGAAGCGATTCCCATCTTTTTCGGGACTTCACATGCATCATAGTGTTGATGTTCACAGTGAGACTCTAACCCAGTACCTATTAATCCAAGCTTCAAAGCACTATCCTCTAGAGTCATGAACTCAGTCAGTGAGTATAATATTTACTATTATTGTTTCTTATAGTTATATATTTTCAAGTTTATTAATATTCAGTACCGTGAATGGACCAACTCCTGTGCTGATGTATCTGGGCTGTCTATTAGCATGCCTTAATTACTGATTTATAACTACAAATTGATTTTATTGGATAGTGATTGTAGAGAAGCAAACAATATCCAATGAAAAACAAATTACAATTTAAATATGTATAATATAAATCATAGTCTATTTTACCTTGTTATTTGTCACAGCTGTTGATTCGATTCCATGATTTGATTGATTCAATTGTTTAGAATTAGTTGTCATATATGTTGATGGAATAGAGGGTTTGGTCAAATTGTTATTTACCAATTGTGAATCAACGAATGGTTTACGTACTTCAATTGATATATCTAGATTAAAAGGGAATGCTAATAATTGTTCTAAATGTGTCATTAGATCAGCGTGTAGTTCACGTTGACTAGCACGACATTGGCGTATGAATGCGTTTTCACAGTAAAATCTTCGTAATAATGTATCATTGGCTACAAGTGCATTTAACCACATTGGTAAAGCTTTTGCGCTAACAATTAAAAAAATGTATGTGCATATATCAGTAATGGTGATAAAACAAATGAAGTCAAAGAATTCTGTTGTCCTAGTGACAAGAAATGTAGATAAATGGGAAAGCCGACTAATTTACCTCACATTGAAACAAACAGGATACGGAGTCTGATTCTTTCGATAGATGATGGGTAACAAAATAATAATCGTGGTAGATTATTTACTTAGATCTGATATGTACAAGGTATTAGTTACAGATTGATCTCAGTCAGGGTATCATTGAGAAGAAAGGGGCACTGAATATCTACCTTGGCGTATAAAGGAACTCAGCAGTGAGCTTCTACAACATCGCCGGAACTTGAACTCAGAACACTAGGGTCTCACTGCGTTTAAGAGCACACATTTATGACGTTGACCGATTCGTAATGTAGTATGACGATCGTCTAATGTCACTGATATTGAGTGTTTTATTACCAACATATCTAAATTACACTGGTCGCAACTTTTCATTGGACCATAAAGAACCCATTTCGAATTATTGTACTAGTGAACTCATAATTAGAACCAAACAACTGTTCAGTTCTTCTTGGGATTCAACAGTACCAAAACTCAGATCGATTCATGACGAATACTTTATATAGGTCAAACTAATCCCAATAAAACCACTTCATCCAAACCTGATATAGCTAGAAAAACAGTTCTACTTGATGATAACAATGCTAAAAAAGTTATTGAAATCATAACAGAAAATTAGCAGTGAAATAAATTTACAAATAGTTATTTCACAAGAAATTAGGGTTTGGTCAAGAATTGATTTCAACACAAGAAGGAGCATTGAATAGCTATTCCATCTTAGTTTAAGGCTACTCAACAGTAAACATCTACGATTACACAATGAATCAGATCTAAGGTATTGAGACATTCTAACAAACGTGGTATCTTTATATTATTTGGTCAGAATCTAATAGTATACATTTAAAACTCCAGTCAATTTGTATTATGGTACGATTCTTAACCAATGTTATCAGTGATGACTGTTTGGCTCCGCAACAGTCACGTTGTTTCACTAAGACCATAATAATCTATTTCAAAATTATTCGCTGATGAACAGATGATTATCATTAAATTGAAATATCGGTTAAAAACTCCCTAGTTTGCAAAATTCATCCACCTTCCACTTACTAAACAGAACTCTACAATCTATCCAAGAGTTATAAAAAAGATATACACATCCAATTTATTAAACATACTTTAAACAAGCACATATGAATCCTTTAAATTTTGTTTTCTCTAATGTGATGTTAGTCAACGCTTTCACTTGACTAATAGCATCATTCAATACATGATAAGCTACACCGGTAGGCAATGCGCCTAAAAGAAAGAAGTAAACAACATAGAAAATTAGGAGAGCAAGAAGAATTGATTAGCAAGGAAACGAATATATATATATATATAGATATATATATATATTAGTTTTCACGATTATCCTGTATGTCCATGTTTATCACATAGTCTCAGCAGCAACAGATTTTTTTAACAACAGTCTTGACAATAAAATCAATTTCCATTTATATTTACAAGTGTCAAATTTATTCATATTTTGTTCAAAGGTCATGATTACTGGTCTCTTAGTGTAGAAAGAATATAACACACCCATATACAGATATGAAGTAAACACATATATATATGTATATACGAGTACAAACATGTAAACCATAGGTCAAGTATCCATGCAATCAGTTCAACTTGTGTTTCTGTATATGGCCTATGACTAACATTGCTATCGAATTTCGGCTACAGCAGGTCATTGCAAAGATATAGTAAGTACAAGAAGGATGGAGGCTGAATAATTGTTAAATAATTATGATTTTTACAAATGAGTCGGTGTAACAGTCAATTAATTAGTAACACATAGTTGTCTAACTTAGTGGCGAACTCTTAGCACGTATTTGAAAAGTTAGTTTAATTTTCATCAACTTGGGCGCCAAACATACGTCTTTCTATTAAAGAAGTATAGAGAGTAATAGATTGCTTAATTCCACTTTATGGCTGTGAAACAAGGCCTTTGAAAATAGGGGACATTTGTAGGATACTAATATCTTATTACATATATCTTCGAAAAATTGCTAAAGTATGGTAGAATAATCAAGTGAGGAATGTTAAGGTTAAGCATTTAGTAGAAATGGAAAATCAATTGATAAGGTTGTCAATCATTAACGAATGATGTGCTAGGACACATTTTACGCAAATCCAACCACCACTTATCCCTAGCACGCAATGTTTGCCGACAGTTAAGGAAGACCAAATTAAGATATGTTCTCACTCCATGAAGTCACTGACTGTTTATGTGAGCTGTCTTAGTAAGTTCAAGGTTAAGACCAGTGTATAATTGTAGTTAATGCTTAGAAATTCTAAATAGTTCAAAATTGGTTGCAGTAGCGCATATAGATTAATTGTTTACCTTCTCCCAAATTCTTACTCCCAATACCATTTCATGCTTTTTATTCCTTTATTTTGTCACTTCTATTTAATATATCCTTTTCTCAAACACTGTTATTCAGACTACCATTACTCAGTAGAAGGAAGCGAAGGAGAGTAACTAAATTCAAATGCAAAAGAAGTTTGAATATATGGAAGTCGTACAATAAACAGTTAACAATGGTACTCAACTTAAGATGTAGAAGGTGAAGAGTAAATGCAATTGAGCTACTGCGATCAATTTTATACCACGTTACTCAGCTATTGATTAAGAGTAACAGGAAATTTCGCAGTTGCCTACACGAGTAAGGTCAGATTTAGACAAATACATGATTCTACATATTATTTTAGCAATTCACAACATATTCATCCATACAAAACGTTTCTCTATATCAAATGATAATATAAATAATTAAATCAAGGAAAACTTTAGATAAAATTCTGAATTAATAAAATAACTTACCTGGTCTACAACTTTCTTCAACTAACTGCCATAAACGTGTACGTGGTCGTGAAGTGAAAATCGGTTTCGATGGTGGAAGTAGACCATCACAAAGTAGAATAGTTAAAGGAGGTATAACTGCTAAAAGAGGTTGTTTTCCAGAAGAGCCAATCGCTTCAACTTTTGAATAAGGTAACGACGTATTAGCCAATAAACTATGACCATTTAATTCTTCATGATTTTTTAAATTCATATTTGGATTGGAATAATAAGCAACGGTCTCTTGAACTGCTTTGATTACATCATTGACCATTGCTAAGTTAAGGCAAGACAGAAAGAAATAATATCCTTATTAATTCAAATAACTATAAACATTGTCATAATTGTGTACAGTAATAATGTTGAAAGAAATCATTTCTCAGAAATTTGTAACTGATAGGCTTGTTAGTATCCCGTCAAATATCTTATTATATATGATAGAGCAGATTTCCTGATAAATACGAAATAGATGCTTGCTAAGTCTATTTTATTTAGAAAGTGTTCATCATGAGTTTAAATTGGGCTATTTGATAGAGAGGTTTTACCTAACAGAATGTAAAAGCTTCAGCTTCAAACCGATGGTGCATGTGCACTTTATGACCATTAGAAGACAACATAGCGTACAAATCTATTTCAGTCACCGGTCATTCAAAAAATTGTATCACCTGATGGTGGTCTTGCGTACTAAACCTTTAAGCTAAAAACTCAAGGAGTAATCTGTTAATAAAGTCTATTTCGACTTTTACGCTCAAGCAGTAAGTAGCCCAGTCAACAAATAAAATTAATCAGAGAGGGACTTTTTGGATATTATAGTAATTTAATAGTTGAATTCTTGAGTCAATTGAAGCTAGACCACCATAGAAAACCTGGAAGCACTGGATGGTCGTTTCGCTTTAGTATGGGGCTCCTCAGCAGTGTGTATCCACGATCCCGCCTCGCGAGATTCGATATATATAAATAGTAAGTTAATTTAAAACAAGATAATCTCCTACTTTAAATGATAATACACAATAATTAAATTAACAGCATACTGAAAACATCAAACTAACCATGATATCTAACATCAATATCAGAGTGATGAGTTGATTTTCCATTTTTTTCACCATCCAAACTTGGACTACAACGTGGATTAAATTCAGCCAATGGTTGTTCTTGACCATATAAACCCCAATTTCGTGGGATTACTTTTAAAATGAAATGTATAAAAAAAGAGTGAACAATATTGGACGATAGTGATGACAAAATAGAAATGAATAAATATTAGTTACTGAAGTTAATGAAGAATAAACTGTACTGACAACTTTGAATTATGATACACTTTTAGCAGTATTCATCAAAAAATAACAATATAAAAGTGAGCATAAGGTTTAAGGAATAACATTAGTAATAATAACACCAATACGTCCAGCTAAGAGTAAAACATGACTGAACAATAACTAATAATATAAATCCAAAACAAACAGAAAACGTTGTTAGGTGGTTGGATTTAGTCAAGAGGAAGCCCTAGATCTAGGTTTCGTGCTAGTTAGCATCCACCAGTCAGGTGTACCTGTAATCTCGAGGGAACGGTGAGATCCTACAGATCAGCCACAACCTGAATAGCTCAGTTGTAATGTTTCAGGCTGTGAAGCCGGGTGACGCGGGTTCGAATTCTCGAGATTACAGATATAGATACATCACACTAAGATATTCGTGAAATTGATAAATTGTTCGTCCAGTTTACTTAACAAAATGTAAATCTTTTTCAATGGAAACATACAAATGTGGCAAATCATTGATCATAGACAAAGGGGTTCAACATCGATCCAAAATTTTTATTGCCTCCTAAATTCCGAACAATTTATCAAACTTAATTACCAGTGGCACTGTTACGAATCCTGCTATTCTGGGATTTGTTTTGATAATTTCATCCCACTATGTTAATGTGTTACGACAATTTAACCGATGTACATACGTACCAGGTTTTACGTTGCGCGTATGACTGACTGATGTAGACAGTGTTAACTAATTTCTCTTTCACCCATTTTCCTAATTTACTTCATTATGATGGCTTCTTATTAATTTGATGCCTCTAATTGTAACAACTTGAATTGCTACACTACTGTGTGATTTTCGCAGTATGAGGTATTAAAAGCATGAAAACAAAAAGTAATAGTTAATAAAATAATAGAGGAAAAATTGGTGACATGATGCATCCCTTGCAGAAAAGTTTACAAACGACAAATATATATTCCTAAGGTAATCTTAGTAAGTATAATACTAGAAATAATCTTTAACCACTGACCTTAATTAGCTTACAGATTCCAAACATAAAATATACGGTTTATTAAAGTTTGGACAAGTGATCCAAGTCAGTCAAATGCAACGTGCAGCCCGGCACATGTGTATCTCAGTTTATGTTGCCACACCATACTAACAAAACGAGATACTACAGTAGCATACGCAGCAAAAGTATTAATGACGAGAAAAATTAGGAATAGAAAATATGATTCTGAAAGAAACTATGCATTCGTAGAAAGACAAAAATGGTCCTGTTTAAGACAATTTGGAAATTTTAGATCGAACATAAGACAAAGAATAAATGCACCTGTGCCATCGATAACGATTCTAAAACATATCATCTATTCATTGATTACGACAGTAGTGACAAAATAAGCCAGGTAACCTCCATAAGGTTTCTTCCTCTTGTGCATTTCTTATATTAGAAACGTGCTTTATGAAAACTTTTCTACTTAAGACGAATATATATATTATTTTATTTGAACACATAAATATTGGTACAAGAGGGCACCAAATATATATGCGCCACACAAAACAATGAGAATCCGAAGAGAAAAAAAAAGATAAGGAGCGTAAAAAAAAGAACCACAACGAACAGATTAGTGTAAGGAAGTGTAATAGTAATAAAAATAGTAATAATAATAATAATAATAATAATAATAATAATAATAATGGTAATAATGGGGGAAACAGAAAGGTACAGTCAGAAGAAATCTTTCAGTTAAGGAAGAAACAACCATATTTTTACGAAAAAAATAAAAGGTTACAGCAGGATCGCCACTGCCTTCTATTCTGAGCCATGTCTGATAACGTCTCTAGCCATTGTGTTACACCATCTCTCGAACCCTAACCAGAGAGTAGTGAAGGACCAACACAACCCAGCTCTTTGCGGCTTTCTTTCATACCACGACACCATGTCATACACTGACCACCTCTCCGCTTCTTTCAACCAGTCCCAGCGTCGGTAAATAATGCACGACGTGGAATTCTCTGGGACGACATTCGTAGAACATGACCAAGCCACCGAAGTCGACGTTTCAAGATGGTGACATCGATTGCATTAACCTCTCTGTACCCGAACATACGATGCCGAAACTCTGCATTACTAACATGGTGTTGCCACTGGATGTCAGTAATCCTTCGGAGACAGCGATGATCGAACACAGAGAATCGTCTAACGTCCTCAACTCGGAGAGGCCAGATTTCACAAGCATAGGGCAGGACTGCTCTCACTGACGCGTTGTAGATCCGATCTTTTACAGCCAGACTAACATCACGAAGGCGCCAAAGGTGGCCTAGATTGGCATAAGCCGCTCTGGCTTTCACTATACATGCATTGATCTCATTACTCATACCCCCACCAGCACTTACACAGCTACCCAGACACACGAACTTCTCGACTACTTCTATCTGCTCACCATCCAGGGTGAGTACAGGATTAGAATCCTGCCAGTCTTGTAGAAGTACTTTGCACTTCGAAGGTGCAAAGCACATACCATACCTACGGACACTGATTGCCAACTGATTAAGTGCGGATTGCATGCCTTGGGCATTATCGCACAGTAAGACAATATCATCGGCATACTCAAGGTCGAGGATTCTTTTTCCAGGCAACAGATCCACACCACCATTACTTTCATTCATCAGAGCTGTTTCCAGAATGTCATCGATGGCAAAGTTGAAGAGGAATGGTGAGATTGGGCAACCCTGCCTAACCCCACTGCTCGAATGGAACAATGGAGAGAGGTGGCTGTATGCCCTCACTCACAATTCAATCATTCAACCTACAGAACGTTATACCACCAACAGACAATATTCAATCTTATCACTTTTAGTTAGAATTGATATTTCTTAGGAATAAAAAAAATGAAATGATAGCACGTCTAAAAAAGCAGTTTATTCTTCACATTTGGAATAATACGATCAAGGCGAGAAGAAAGGAAATAAGTGGAGTATAAAAGTAATTCAAAAGATACAACTATTTATTTATCGATAGACTAACCTTTGGGTTCAGGCGATTGTTGTGTTGATGTATCACTGTAATGATGATGAGAATCCTTGGAATTCAGTTGTAATAAACGAATATTTCCACTGAAACTAACACTTTTTTTTGGTCGTGAATTCAAACTAAGTGATTCGTCTATTTCCGATGCATTCTTGTTACTGTTGTAATCATAGTTATTCTGATGTTCGTGAGATTTTCGAGTAGTAGAAGTAGAACCAATCCATGATGAATCACTATCGACTGATCCATACATTGGTTGATTGACTTTACTAGAAGAAATTGAACTGTTTACTAAATCCGGTTCAGACGTCGAACAACGTTCAATGGTTTCAGGACAATGTGACTGGAAAATATGAAAAAAAAGGATGGAATATGAATACACTATGCCAGTGATTCTAAAGATAACTGTTATTCTACATCTGTTTATATTTATTTATGCGTGAAAAGAAATACATGTTTTGTCAAAACATTAGATATATTCACAATACTATTAGCATGAGTAGACAGTTAATCAATAAACAAATCATTTAAAAATAATTTCCATAACGAAGTAACTAGAGTCGAAAAACCATTGAAGATCAGGACGGATCCAAATCACCAAGTACAGATTAGTATACTCAGCTTTGAGCCACACACCATGTGTAAGGGTCATCGATACCAACTACTTACTCAGACCGAAGTAGGTGGAATAGGACTTGACCACGCGATTGAAGGTCTAACACATCAACTATTAGTCCGCCGCTCCAAGAAAACAACTGTCAGTGTTCCCTAGTTTTTAATGATACCCCAACTCAGGTCAATCTTTGTGTACATCTGTAAATTCTCTGCTGAATTATGCAGTTATATGGTTGCAACGTGTAAACTATCGGTATATTTGTTTTTCTTAAAACTAGGTGTAGGTAGTCTTACAAACAGGATGCTTAGAAGTAAAGCATTACCAAAACTTTTAAGTTTATTTTTTAAAATAACATCATTTCAATACAGTAGCCACATGAAAGTCCAAGTGCTAGTTCGACAGCTAACTGGATTACATGTTTGGATCGATGAAGCTTATTGAGACCATAGAGATTAGAAAAGGGTTTTAGTGCTTTGCTCAATGTTTGTAACGTAAGAATTTATAAATTATTCAACTAATGCTTCATCTTGAATAAGTGCTGGAGAATAAATATTTTCAAAAGTATAGGAAAGAAGTCCTACGGTGAATAGTTTGATGTTATTTTTTAATGAAAATAGATTGATAAGTATTAAGCAACGAGACTTACTCGACTCTGGGTTGTTGTCTGCACTTCTGTACAAATATTGACATTATTTGATTTTGGTCTATTGATGGTGGATATGATATCCGGAGTGTTTGTTTGTTCAGTATCTTTAAAGTTACGACAGAGGGTTTTATTTTGGTCAGATTGTATTTTAGACGTTTGCAACTTGGGTGGTTTATTTGAACATGTACCCTTAGAGAAAACTCGACCAGCAGATGTAGATCGACATCCACACTTAGTACAAGTGCATTTTTTCTTTGACTGTGTAGTTGACAAGCAAGAACCTCGACGTTTGGTCATAGTTGGTGTACCTTTACGATCTTCTTCAGCGCCAGCTTGACTTAAGAATGATAAATCAGGTAAAGTATGGGAAAGGAAAGCAGATCCAGCTAACCTCGAGGGGCGAGGGACTGACAAAAGACCTAACCCAGGATAAGCTATTGACGCTCGCGGATTGCCGATCCAACCAACTGCATACCCTCTAGCAGCACAACCAGCGCGTAAAGCAGCCATGTACGGTGAATCTGGTCCAGCAGATGCTGTAAGACAAGCAGCAATAGTAGGAGGCTCGATGGGGGACGGTGACTGTTGCATATTGTTTCCTTCATTCCTCTTAGGATTGGCATGACAATGAAGTGCAGACATCGGCCTACTTAGATAAAGTGGCTGAGGATGGCTATGACGTACCGCACAATTATTGGCGTACGCAGCAGAACTCCCATTGCGCAACGGCAACTTAGTCGACCATATTGGAGAAGTGTTTTGAATATTTCCGGTTTTCCTTTGATTATTAAGAAGACCTCTGGAGGAAGCACTTTTGGAATCGTCTAAAGGTGGAAACTGAGCGCCAAAGTTACGCATAGAGCGAGCAACAGCATCAGCACTAGTGTACAAGGGTGAAAACTGAATATTCCCCTTACTTGGAAATATTCTTTCTTTGCGTAGTAGTAAATATTTATCATTTTCAGTAATTGACCTCCTTGGATCCGTTCCAGCAAACAGATAAGACTTTCTGGCTCCCGAGACACGTGGTGACATGGCTACTCCTAAAGGATAATTATATCTATTCAATAGTATATCTGCACGGTCAGAATCCTCTTGGCGTATTATATGAGCAGGATTTGAATAGGCAGAAACAGAGTTGCCCTTTGGAAAGGAAGCATTCAAGTCTACAGCTGAACAGTCACTATGAACACCCAGTGAAGCTATATCTTGAGCTCTAGCATGCATAAATATCTCGAAGAGTGTCCCTGAGAACCGATGCATGTGGGAAGCACCAGCTAAGGGTTGGGAATGTGAGCGGCTTTTGACTGAACCCGTCATATTCATTTTCGGAACAAAAGAGTCACTCTGATCATGTTGGTCACGCCGACTTTCACGGACACTTGATGACTTTCCAAGACTTTCAGCTCGTTTAACAACCCGCTTAAGTTGGTTCCAGGTAATCAAAGCTCCATTAGCGTCTTTGATGGTTTGCCAAGTAGTTTTATGGTCACTTTCTATCTCATTCTCTTTGCTTAAATTAGGATATGGAAAGACAGTCATGTCAGTTGATCTGAGAGATTTTCTTTTAAGACTTTCGCGACTACCGTGTTTCTTTGCCCATGTGGTCGTATTTGAGGTTGAAGAATCTTGGTTCTTATGTTCCATCGAAACCGCGTCAGAAATAAGATCGGCAGAAACCCCAACAGAGCAAAGCTCTGTATTTCTGTCAGTAGGTTTCGGTAGTAACTGAGTTGTTTGATCTAGGGCATGTCGTAAACCCGCTAAGCTAGCGGCAGCCAAAAGACTACCCTGACTTAGAGAACGACTGCCTGTTACCAAACCTGGAACATTGTGCTTTGAAGACAAACAAGACCTATCTTCAAGTCGGCCCTGCAATCCGATGGAATCACCATAAGCTAATTTGTAATCAACTGCTGCGGCAGTCCGGTTGATAAGAGCTCGCAGCTCAGGATTACAAGAACGCTCCATCAACATATGCATCCAGCTGGTTGAACCTGATGCATTGTAGTGAACAGACCCTTGGGATTCACTGGTGAACTGCTGGCTTGCATCATTATTGAAGTCAACCTCACTTGTCTCATTTGATGCCTGACAAACAAAGCCTGTCTTTAAGCACAGATTTTTGCTCTCATTTGCGTTTTTTGGAATATTAGATTCTATATTATTTGGCAACTGAGCATCCCGACAATTTGAAAAGTTTTCGTGATTAATGTTGTTTGCTAAGTGATTTCCAGCAATCTTAGAACCACTAAGATCACTTTCTCGTGAATTGACTGGACTAAATATGCAAGAATCAGAACGTGAATGACCAATCAGATCAGGTGGAGGCTTTCGACTACAATCCATAGATTGAACCATCAAAGGATACCTAGTGTTATCGTCTCTATCTTCCTGCAGATGTGGATCCATAGGCTCTGCAAATTCATCATCAAAAAAGTATTCTCCCTGCTCAAGCCAAACAGATGCAATCGGAGGTGTGTCAACCGTGGAACTTATTAGTGCATGAGGAGCAAATGAACCAGGCGGAATGTTGTGTACCGATTCAGTCTGCATTTGATAAGGGGTATATTTTTGAGTTGGATTGCAAACGATCTTTTTCCCTATTTGTTCAGATATTTCTGGGTCCTGACATGTTCCATTGTATCGAAGTAGGCGAGGATTAAGACTCACTGCATCCATAGTGACATTTGGAATAATTACATAGCACGAACAACCTGGAAACAAAGGAACTTCTTAGTAATGCATATACATATAAAATAGCGAGTTGTAGTTCAAGAAACTCGCTTTTAACTAATACGTACCAATTCGGTTTATGACTTTAAAAAATGATTAATAATGTTTGGAAAGCATTCTGGTACTAAAAAATGATAAAATGTAAGACCCTATAGGTAACTTTTACTACTACTTTCAGTCGATTATCATTTATGTTCTCATGAAAGTTGTGGCTTTATTCTATCGTACAAGCAGATTACAAGTGACAGTAACAAACAATGTGAGTGATTATTATCGACAGGAACCCGAGAAAAAGGGATCTGAGATTCTGCGAAAAATAAATCTCACTAAAAACCCCAAGATGGTTTGGGTCTGGTATCTTAATAAACGCAGAAATTTCAATTTTATTCCAAATGGGTCCAGATTTATCCAGAGGGACTAAAAAGAGCTTCGTAGGGCGGAATGATTATGAGCGAAAAAGACTAATATGTGTTCCCCTTTTAGTAGACGAAAGGCCGAACAATAAACAAAACAAAATAAAGCACGACATAAAGACAAAATTCAGGCTTAGTGGAAACCAAATAAGTCTTCGAGGTATCAAAAGTGATATTTGGTAAAAACGTAGATTTCTAACAACATACCACGAGTCGTCAGATCTATTATTGTAAGTGTTTTATGAAGTTTATTCAAGAACACTATCAGATACTAAATGTTTAAAACGAATGACTAAGCTTCCCAGTCTCTTGCCAATTCTCAGTGTGCTTGTACTTTCACTTTAAACAATGCAGGGTACTCCATCAAATGGTGCGACAGCAAAACAGTCTCGGGATTTGTTAAGTTGAGAGGTCAAGTACTTACTGACTTTTGACTGTACATAACAGACGTATTTATGCAGTAATTCTATCATACCTAGACAATGTTACAAAGATAATGGGAGACTAAAACGCAACAGCTCTCCCATGTCCTTGAATTTTAAAGGTTTCAAAACAAGACGAGACAGTATACTCCGCTCTTGTTTACTCCTAAGTAAAATATGGACCAATATATTGGAATAAATTTACAAGCTGGCACTTATAATTGCCACAAATATTCATTGATGATTCTGTAATAAACTAAAGAAAGGAAACCTTTTCAGTAGACCAGCTTTATGTACCTGTCAACAGAATATTAAACGTATTAAGAGATCAATCACAAGCACTTGACAAGGGGTTATGAGACGGGTAAGATACAATCACAACTACATTACTACCAGTTACTTTGTCTTGAACGTAGTTTAAAACTTAGTTAGACAGTCATGTGTTGTGCAGTGGAAGGGAATGCAAACACATTTTACTCATGTTAAAATATGGTGAGTATTTTGCGTGATGATCTGTTAAGTGTCTATAAGAGAAAAATAGTCAGTTACAACGACAGTGTACGCTAGAGCAAAAGGCTCAGTAAAGTTCAAAAAAGCAGACGGGCACAAGGTAGTACATACCAGTATCGTTGATTACTCGTTTACGTGAAATATGCTTTTAACTGAAGACATGTTCGTTAAGTTTCAAGTTTGAGTCTAAATTTAGAAATATGCCATTATGAGATTATTTACTTTGTTGCATATTTACAGAATTGTTAAAGCTTCACAAGGTTGCTTTATTTACGCAGTAATCCCTGTATTGAAGATGTGACAGCTGTGAGGATACATCTTACCTGGGGTATGATGTAAGTAAAAAAAGCGACTTTTTTAAATGCGTAGAATAGGATTCGTGAGCAAGGACTTAGAGAATATTTAGACTGTAACTGCCATACCCTGCTAAGTAAAAGAAAACGGTTTACTTTCACAGAATGGGATCATGAGTCAGTTGAAGCTAGACCACCACGGAAGACCTGGAAGCACTGGACGGCCGTTCCGTCCTAGTAAGGGACTCCCTAGCAGTAAGCGTCCACGACCCCGCGGGGTTCGAACCCAGAACCTACTGGCCTCGCGCGCTAGCACTTAACCATTAGACCACTAAGCCGGCATGTGGCGGTGTTAATGCCTAACTTCAACCAATCGACGAAGTTGCGCCACAATATACCATTGTCTTCAGTGGGCTGATTTCTCACAACAGACCTGGTTGAAGTCCACTGGTAACAGCTTCCCACTAGAACTCCAGGAGTATCGCTCGAAGCCAGCTGCTATTGAGCAGATGATTAACCGTTAGACCACTAATGGTTAAGTGCTCCCGCGCGAAACCAGTAGGTCCTGGGTTCAAATCTCGCGAGGTGCGGGATCGTGGATGTGCATTGCTGAGGAGTTCCATACTAGGACGAAATGGCCGTCCAGTGCTTCCAGGTTTTCCATGGTGGTCTAGCTTCAACCGACTCATGATTTCAATCTGTGGAAATTTCTAAAATCTCCACAAACCCCTTCTGAGAAAACGGTTCATATCACTTGATTTGTATATTAGAGGCAAACAGGAAGCTTGTTAATATACATGAATTGAGCATATTACGATGCATAGGAAATACTAATAACGAACGCGAACTTACCTACTAGTAAAAAATTTTTAATCGCACAGAAATCACTCACAATAGTAGAAATCTGCGGAAGAGCATATGCTCATGATGAGAAAACTGGAGAGACTACAATTTATGGACGAACCAACCACATTTAAAACAACAGATCTTGGTGCGAAATTCGTTCACTTATTTGACTAAATACCGTTTCGGCATTATAGCTAACCCTCATTTAACCCTGGTAAGCAGGCGGACATTCCAAGGTCATTTTAACGTTGTTCAAATGTCGTCCATAAATTATATTATTGCCATAAAATTCTAGATTATTGAACCAACGGACAAGACGTCAAGTGGTGGACAGTAAAAGGGTTTTGAACAGTATGACGCTCATGACTCAGGTGAAAGACACCTGTCTTTCGAAATCCATAGAGTTTAGAAAGCCATTAAGGTATGGAGCAGTTCGGAAACCACCAGTGTGTGCTACATTTTATCATACTCTCTGGGATGAGCAGAAATTTTGTGGATGGATATAAGCTGCATAGATACTAAGTTGAGATTCTTCAACTTCACGTTTTTATGAACATATTAATTACATAATAATAGCTGATGACTCCGAATCTTAACAGACAGAATATAAGTCTAAAACGGTTGTTGACCCGTGAAAATGTAATGTTTTAAACCTTGTAGCCTGGAAAAATTTATGAGAAGTATAACTTACGCTAAATAAGCACCCCGAAAAGCAAATGACCTTAATCCTCATGTAAATGCCGGAAAAACTAGCCCAAGGTCACTCATATGTAAACTGGGCGCCACTAAACACATACTATCCGATTTACAATTCTAAATGGAAGTTAAAAACCAATTTCCTAGGTTTATTTTGTATGATGAGACCTGTAAAAATATTGTTATTGTCATCATTATTTAACAGGATATGGTTTTGGCAGTTGAAATCTTGGATATCAAAGGTAGCCTGCGGTCAACTACATTGAGAGTAACTCTACTCGCAAGCCTTCTCTCAACACAACTTCAGGAGTGGTGTCAAAGCGTATTAAAATCACTGTAAACTCTATCCAGGATGAACTTACAAAGTTGTCAGCATTTTAGACAGGTAAATAAATGAAAGCGGTTGAGATTCACCTTGCGCAGGTAGCCCTCTTAGTAGAATAATATTGGAAATACTACTCAGCCATTCTGCTTAACCACTGAGTTAGAAGGATCTCATAACCATTCCTGTTCATAAGACAGTATTTAGGCTACATTTTTCAAATGTGAGACTGAATATCCTAAGGAGTGCGTTTGTAGGGACCTTGATTAGAATATTAAAACTGCTATTCTTACTTGTCTCAGTACTTACCACTTTGCAAAAAAGCTGATAATAGGGCCTTAAAAGTGATTTATCTCATGAACTAAACGTTATGGTCACGAAATAAAGTTTGTAGGCGTCTTTAATATTTTTGTAACACTGGAGGCAAAGAAAAACTTTCGAAAGGTTCGGTAATATAGTTTAACTGCATTTTGTGCAACTTAGGTACAGTGTAAAGTAGGAACGCATGTGGCAACCACAAGAATTAGATCGCTTAAAAAGGAGTACAGCAGGTTACTACTTGTATAAATCATTTGATGAGTTTGATAACCTTAGGCGAGATGGCGTTGCTCATTAAACCTATTTGCATTTAGTTGTAATATGAAGTACAGTATACACTGTTTTAAAACCTATACATTCCTCCAATCTCGTAACTGTGGCAATAAAAGATATGAAACATATCAAGCAAGTTCACACATTAAGAACAAAGTGAGTCACCATGGCGCCTGTAATTTTGTACAATATAATTAGCTCATCAAACCTACTCCTTGATAAAGTGGTGTCTGCTAATTCTTTTGGCGAAAATGAGAAGAAACGAGGGACATACAGAAGCATGGGAGAGAGAACCAGGACAAGCTCTTGGTCTTCGGGCTGTAAACGAGAAAATGAGGTCTTGTAGAATTACGGTGTACTTCGTTATTAGTGCTATTATAATAATAGACCTGGTCCTAAGATTGTGGCTATGTCATGATGTGAAAACTTAATCTATAAGATCTTAAGAGGAAGCCACTTCAGTGTCTATTCTGACTCGTCCTACCGCAAGATTCCGCGATCTAATGTTGGTGTTTGTAAAAGGTACATTTAGGCCTAAGACAGTATAATATATTTAATGTGAGTAGAGACAAACTATACAGAACGATCACGTATACAAGGCTGAACCATGCCATCTCTCTAAGTCAATTAATTCCTCCCGCCTTTTCCACTGTTGACTTTCTCTTCATACTAATTGCTGAATAGGCATTTTCCCAGCTATCTAATGTTTAGCTTTGAGGATTATGTGGTTAAGTCCAATTCCACACCAGTCTTACTGGCTAGTGACGGTTTATTAAATGCAGAAAAACAGTCATCATATTCATCTTGAAGGCAGTTTAGGCTATTTTCTAACCTTAATAGACCCTCACAACCTGTAAATCATCCGTTCCAAACATCCCTTTAGCGACTTTGATTTATGTCTTTCAGTTCTTTGGTTCATTCAGTGAAGATAGTTGACTGGCAGTCCTGTATGGCTCTGCAGTGCCTGACTTCTTGCAAATCAAACGTCATTTTGACGACGAATACTTGACACGATGAAAGCTTGATGTGAAATTTGAATGTCATTTGTTGATTCGTTCGTTTACAAGACCATATCAGGACCAGATTACGGTGAACACAACCTAAAACCTAAATCAATTTACTCAAACTCCCACTAGTTTTAGGCTCTAGATACTCAAGTTCTTTTCTCTGACCCCTATAGAGCGCTTCCTAAACCATATCTAGAGGTCAGAGTAAAAAATCACGATGTCCATAGACCTTTTGGCTGCAAATTGAGGTGCGTTTGACAAATTGTCGTGTCTATCACTCTCATCACAATAGAATCCCTGAGCTCAGCAATGAAAACCCGAATCCGGCGTACAATGAGAGCGCACTGTTTTTGCACTCAGAGTTTGGGCTGGTAGACCAAACAAATAAGAAACTATAAGAACAGCTTAAGTAAATAATTTTGTCGTAAAAACGATTTTTTTAGTAGAATCATTCCTAATTTTATCATCTTTAACATCTTTCCTGGTCATGCTCCAGACTTCAAATCTTTCCATGCAATTCTCAAAAAATTCACTTTATGAATCTGTCATAAGTTCCGTTGTGGCGCTCATATGTTGGCTAAAAGTATTTCAAATGATGTCCTAAGAATTTCTGGAATAGTTCTATTTTTCTCATCATATCAAAAACTTTAAGCTGACCAGAGTTGTTGCTAAGCTACTTTAATCAAACACATGGTCGTTTGAGTGTCAGTTCAGGCGGTATGACCCATGTTTAACAGCAAAAAATGGAGAGTTTATAGTTTCTACAATAAGTCAAAGGGTCATATCACAAATATGTTTGGTTTCAGTACATTAACCTTCAACCTCTCACGAATGAAGAATCCATTTGTTTGTATTATTAGGAGTATATGAGAAAATCCAGGTATGTTGTTCTATATGATTAGTCGCTAGTTTTCTTTTACACACATCGTTTCTTCTGCTACTTTCAGCATCTATGCGTATTTTGTTTCTTTTTCGGTCCTTTTTCATTATCATTACAATGTTGTCTATACAATAGATTGAAGTCGAACACCAGTTGCATGCTGTTTGCTTATTTACATTTATTATTTGGGACTGACCCTGAAGTTTACAGGGTTCTGATCGTTGTCATGATTTTGTCTTGCTCAAAGTTTTCCAAAATGTCGGTTATGATTATCTGAAAACCTTGTTCTTGATTGCTGGCTTTCAGGCTGTCATTTCTCTTATTCGTAGTGCGAAGAAAATGCATTTCCCTAGTTGTATGGAGGTGGTGTTGTTGCCGTTATTGACTGATTATTCTCAACAATCTTCGAACCATTTTGAACTTATTTCGTTTGTGTGCGGAACGTCGATTTTTACGTGGAATGATTCTGCTATTTGATTTATCAAATCAACGTGTAAAGTCACTGTAGTTTGTGTTTTTTCCTATCAATGAGAACATCGTTCACTTTCATACGAAATACCACTTTCAAAAGTTTTCCTGCTTTACTTTAGGGATATGCTGGTCAATCTCGTATTTTTAATCTCCTATTCGGGATGCTTGACTGATTCATCTTTTAGGAACGGCGTACTGAATTTGTAGTGGCTTTTGTGTGTGACGAAAAATTACAATTGAGACCAGTGGAAGTTAGTCTGTCCATTAACTGTTTGAATTGTTTTATCATGCTACAGGTTTACATGTAGTAGTTGGTAGTTTCAAGTGATGCCACTCTTAAGAGTTTAGTCATAGCGTAAATCTATCCAGATTATTTTGGACTGAAATGTCAAATAATTGGTAAGAATGACCAAATTCGATGGTAAAAACACATTGATCTTATAAAAAACCGTCATGCAACAACATTAATTACTTGTAAGTGTACCCACTCGTGATTTGGTGAGGATGTGTAATGCCATCGGACTATAACCACATGACTTTTAGGCAAAACATATAGTTACTGAAGAGACTTACATTCAACAACTGACACTAAGAGAAGACTAACTGTGGAGGACGCGGGGACATTAATTCAATTCATCGGATCGCATGGCTCAGCTTTGTAGGAGTGGTCATTATTGTGTAATTTATCTCTTCGATTCATACTAGATATATTGTCCTATATCCAGTTTAAATGTGCTCCTCATCATATACTGGTAATTATTGAGATACGATGAGTCAATGTAGACAATGATGTGACTCCCATGTGACGTACTATAGATTAAGCAGTTACATCGTGGCAAGTCTACAACTTTAGGATTAGGTCCATTATTAGAGCAGTACTAATAACCAAGTAGGCCATAATTCTACAGATGAATAGCTGGGCGCCTTCGGCTAGGGCGTGCCTAATAAAACTAATGAGGTCAGAATCAAGGCCAAATACTTACAGAACTATCCATTTCGGCGGTTTACGTTTCGCTACAGACATTATTTACATGATTCTGCAAATTCAATCCATTACATTTCTCGTAAGGGGCATACAATTCGGCATCGGCTTCAGATGACTTATTAGTCCTCCAAATGATCAAAGTTGTCAAATAGTAGTTGGTCCAGGGTATTTCAGGATGACTGCTATATTGGTTAAGTAAACTTGCTTTCAGATATAAATATGGCTTTCGACAAAACTAAACAAGAGCCGCTAATTTCGAAATGCCATTTGCTTTGATATCTATGGGGGAAATGTGATTCACATTTCGCCATCTAGCGAGTTTTGATCAAATACTAATGGCCAGGATCACCCAATAAAAGCAACGTAGCATGGATCAGTGGTAGGCTCCTACCAGCTATTATTCTCGAAAAGTTGTTTACACCTACTGAATAAGGATTTGGAGAACAAGAATTAGGTTAAAACACATTGAATGTTACATCTTAAGAACCCAACTGATGTGGAGAAGAATACATATTTTGAGTTTATAAACATGCCTCAAATATTTAGCCCAAGCATCGGTGTGGTTGTTTTCTCAGTCCAAAATAACTGGAGCCAAGTTTCGAGTTCTGCACAACTCATTCGAGGTTCATAACCTCACAGTGTACTTGCTACGTCACTCCGCCTGGACTCTCTCTGGTGCAATTGCCGGTCTCCAGCTCGAATAGAGAAGGAAGGTTGGACATGGGGTTAGCGAAGACATCCCGTAGAACATAACTCGCTAAAAAATGGCATTCAGGAAAAATAATCCGAACTATTTAAAATCTTCGTTGGTAGTTAGGTCTTCATTTAGAAGAAATATGACGCCTCATGATGAAATCCGAGTTCCTTCGGAAGTCACGAAGGTGATGCTCATTCTGACAACCAAAGCAACCATTAGTTTAGGTACATGGGATGCTCGTACAATGTAGGAGACCGAGAGAGTCATCCCAATTGATGCAGAAATGAAAAAATATGGCCTGGAGGTGCTTGGAATCAATAAAGCACATTGGACGCAGTTTGAACTACAAAGATTAGCTTCAAGAGAGATGCTGAAATACTCCAACCATGAAGAATAAAATGCTTCAAGTACATAAGAAATTGCATTGATGCTGTCCAAACAAGCACAAAATGCACTTATAGGATGGGAATCTCATGGACCCAGTGTGATCAAAGCCTCCTTCAAAACAAAGAAAGAGGGCATTGCAATGAACGTCATCCAATGCTATGCGCCTACCAACGACAACAGAGAAGACGATAAAGATCTATTCTACTATAGACTTCAGTCAATCATCGAGAAGTGCCCAACAAAGGACCTGACCATTCTGATGGGTGATTTAACTGCCAAGGTTGAAATGTACAACACCGGGTATGAAGACATCATGGGACGACACGAACTAGGAGAAAGGAACGAAAATGGTGAGAGATTTGCAAACTTATGTGCCCTCAATAAACTGGTCATAGGCAGCACGATATTCCCACATAAACGCATTCACAAAATCACGTGGACTTCACCGGATCATACCACGCAAAACCAAATCGACCATATCTGCATCAACAAAAAGTTCAGGAGGACGATGGAAGACGTGAGAACCAAGAGAGGAGCTGATATAGCATCGGATCATCACTTGCTGGTCGCCAAGTTGAAATCGAAAGTCAAGAAGTTCTGAACAACGGGGCGGGCAATATCACAAAAATTCAATACGGCTTTTCTTCAGGATACTGACAAACTCAACAAATTCAAGATAGTCCTCAGCAATAAGTTCCATGCCTTTCATGATCTACCCAATGGAGAAGGAACTACTGTGGAGAGCAACTGGAAAGAGATAAAAGGAGCAATAAGTTCAACATGTTGTAGTATGTTGACGAGTCGCGGTTTACTATGATCACCAAATATCAGAATGCAGTTGATGGCTGTAGTCGAGATGTATTTGTTGACGATCTCGTGGTACCGATAGAATACCGAGATCGTGCCAGGTTACAAGTGTGGTTACTGAGCGTAACCAAATTCGTGCAAAGTCACAATCAACAAAAGAATGTATATGTTTTTGGTACAGTTAAGCAAACAAGTACAGTAAAACAATCCCTGGTACAATTGGTTATATTAATAATTGTTTCCATTACGCCAGTTGTGTTCTCTTGACAAAAGTAGGTCACTACAATGTCATGAGCTTCTGGGCCACAAGAAGCACCATCGCAAATAATGGATCACTGTTGACACGTTGGATAAGATTCAAGATAGGAGGAGGAGCAAGAAAGCAGTAATCAATACCAGCCGAACAAGAACGGAAAAAGCCAGGACACAAGCTGAATACACAGAGGTAAACAAAAAAGTGAAGAGGAGCATCAGAACTGACAAACGTAAATATGTGGAAGATCTAGCAATGACGGCGGAAAAGGCTGCAAGAGTAGGAAACATGAGACAACTGTATGACACGACAAAGAAACTCTCTGGAAATCGCCGCAAACCAGAACGACCAGTGAAAAGTAAGGAAGGCAAGGTAATCATCAACATCACCCAACATCGAAGCAGCACCCACGGACCTCCCGATCAATGTCGGCCTACCAACAATTGAAGAAATAAGCATGGCCATCAGACAAATCAAGAGTGGCAAAGCAGCGGTACCAGACAACATTCCAGCAGAGGCACTAAAAGCAGACGTAGCGGCAAATGCAAGGATACTCCACATTCTCTTCAATAAGATTTGGTATGAAGAACAAGTACAAATAGACTGGAAAGAAGGATACCTGATCAAGATACCAAAGAAAGGCGATCTCAGCAAGCGTGACAACTACAGGGGCATCACTCTTCTCTCAATACCGGGAAAAGTCTTCAACAGGGTATTGTTAAACGGAATGTAGGACTGCGTAGACGCCGAAATTCGAAACCAACAGGCTGGATTTTGTAAGGGTAGAACGTGTACCAAATCGCAACTTTACGAATCAATGTGGAACAATCAATTGAATGGAAGTCATCACACTATGTCATTTATATTAACTAAGTGAAAACATTGGAAGGCGTGAATAGAACAAGACATGCCTCAGAAGATATTCAATATTACACGGAGTTCTTATGATGGATTAAACTGCAAAATCGTGCATCATCATCATCATCATCATCATCATCATCATCATCATCATCATCATCATCATCATCATCATCATCATCATCATCATCATCATCATCATCATCATCATCATCATCATCATCATCATCATCATCATCATCATCATCATCATCATCATCATCATCATCATCATCATCATCATCATCATCATCATCATCATCATCATCATCATCATCATCATCATCATCATCATCATCATCATCATCATCATCATCATCATCATCATCATCATCATCATCATCATCATCATCATCATCATCATCATCATCATCATCATCATCATCATCATCATCATCATCATCATCATCATCATCATCATCATCATCATCATCATCATCATCATCATCATCATCATCATCATCATCATCATCATCATCATCATCATCATCATCATCATCATCATCATCATCATCATCATCATCATCATCATCATCATCATCATCATCATCATCATCATCATCATCATCATCATCATCATCATCATCATCATCATCATCATCATCATCATCATCATCATCATCATCATCATCATCATCATCATCATCATCATCATCATCATCATCATCATCATCATCATCATCATCATCATCATCATCATCATCATCATCATCATCATCATCATCATCATCATCATCATCATCATCATCATCATCATCATCATCATCATCATCATCATCATCATCATCATCATCATCATCATCATCATCATCATCATCATCATCATCATCATCATCATCATCATCATCATCATCATCATCATCATCATCATCATCATCATCATCATCATCATCATCATCATCATCATCATCATCATCATCATCATCATCATCATCATCATCATCATCATCATCATCATCATCATCATCATCATCATCATCATCATCATCATCATCATCATCATCATCATCATCATCATCATCATCATCATCATCATCATCATCATCATCATCATCATCATCATCATCATCATCATCATCATCATCATCATCATCATCATCATCATCATCATCATCATCATCATCATCATCATCATCATCATCATCATCATCATCATCATCATCATCATCATCATCATCATCATCATCATCATCATCATCATCATCATCATCATCATCATCATCATCATCATCATCATCATCATCATCATCATCATCATCATCATCATCATCATCATCATCATCATCATCATCATCATCATCATCATCATCATCATCATCATCATCATCATCATCATCATCATCATCATCATCATCATCATCATCATCATCATCATCATCATCATCATCATCATCATCATCATCATCATCATCATCATCATCATCATCATCATCATCATCATCATCATCATCATCATCATCATCATCATCATCATCATCATCATCATCATCATCATCATCATCATCATCATCATCATCATCATCATCATCATCATCATCATCATCATCATCATCATCATCATCATCATCATCATCATCATCATCATCATCATCATCATCATCATCATCATCATCATCATCATCATCATCATCATCATCATCATCATCATCATCATCATCATCATCATCATCATCATCATCATCATCATCATCATCATCATCATCATCATCATCATCATCATCATCATCATCATCATCATCATCATCATCATCATCATCATCATCATCATCATCATCATCATCATCATCATCATCATCATCATCATCATCATCATCATCATCATCATCATCATCATCATCATCATCATCATCATCATCATCATCATCATCATCATCATCATCATCATCATCATCATCATCATCATCATCATCATCATCATCATCATCATCATCATCATCATCATCATCATCATCATCATCATCATCATCATCATCATCATCATCATCATCATCATCATCATCATCATCATCATCATCATCATCATCATCATCATCATCATCATCATCATCATCATCATCATCATCATCATCATCATCATCATCATCATCATCATCATCATCATCATCATCATCATCATCATCATCATCATCATCATCATCATCATCATCATCATCATCATCATCATCATCATCATCATCATCATCATCATCATCATCATCATCATCATCGTCATCGTCGTTGTCGTCGATAGATACTTCCCTTTTCTTTTTTTCAATCTAGACTGAGCTTAGTGGGATTCAAAGTCATCAGAAGATATAAGATTAAGTAAAAAGATAATTCTCCTTAAGTTTACTTGTCTGAGTGATATTTGTATAGTATATATAAAGTAATTATTATAACATGGTTAATTTTGGATAGGCTTATTTTCAGGTTATTTACTCTCTCGCTACTACCAATATTGTGGAACTTAGCCAGAACCATAAACCCAATAGTTTTAACAGTGTTGGTCTGACAAATACTGTAAATTGTGTGTTTTAATATGTATTATAATGTTTAATTCAATATCTATACAGACAGATCTATCGAAATAGTTAAATAGAAGGGAGAAAAAGTGAATAATTGATTAACTGTATGTACAAAAGAGTCACATCAAACTGGACATTGATAGAAAACAAGTATGTTGAAACCAGTAATAAAATGTATGTAATTATAGACCGAAACAGATAATGACTAGTAGTGGAATCCAGGACGCACGTTTCGTCGTATTTCTAACTCGTCAGCTGGATTCACCTGAATCGCAGAGTTTATGTTCAATCCTAAATACATACAGCTGACGAGTCCCAAATAAGATGAAACACACATGCTGAATTCCAATGCTAGCCACCATCGATCTTTGTTTAGAGTACTTGTGAATTAAGGCAATATCGAGGCAATCCATAAAATAATCAATTACAGTACTAAACAATTATGAGAAGATTCAAGTAAACAATACTAAGTCAATTTAAATTATATGCAAATTTAGAATAACAAAATGTTCAAAATAATCATTACAGACAACAATTTTTTTTAAAAAAGAGCCCTAGACTATTATGATGAATTCATCAGTTTCTAGCAAATTGTTAACTCAATCTCAATGTTATTGATAGTAGTTAAGATGAAAACCAATAGATGTTTTTCACAGAATCTACATTAAGTTAGTGAAATGATAATCATGGCTGTTAAGATATTTCATTATGTTAAAATACAATAGTTAAATATAAAAAAATAATCATCAGTGTAACTGTGTCATTGGTTATTGATTTCATACAAATAGTTCGCAATTGATTGATCACTGGGTGGTGATCAATGTCATGTATGTCAAGTCCTTCGTAGTGAAGATCGAATCTTATCGACCAAGTTTCAATATGGCCACTAGTCTTGGTGACTCGACATTGTGTCACTATGTTGTGATAAGATGGTGGTTGGAGGCAGTCAACACGAAACCCTGAACCTAGGTTTCGTGCTACTTGGCACTCGTCAGCAAGGTTCATCTTTGATCTTGAAGGAACTGGTGCTCCCCGACGGATTCGATCCAGTTTCATCCAGCTTCACAACCAGAGACGTCACCACTGGGCTATCCGGGCCGCGACCGACCTCCTGTAGGACTGAGTTCCCTTTATGAATTTAAATAAAGCCAGATGATGCAGAATAATATGAATTCCCAATATAAAGGTTGTGGAGATTATTGAACTTTTGATTGAGATCATGAACCAATTGATGTTAGATCACCATTGAAAACTTGGAAGCACTAGACGGCCGTTTCGTCCTATTGTGAGACACCTCAGCAGCGCGCATCCACGGTCCCGCTCGCGGGATTCGAACTCAGGGCCTTCAGTCTCGTGTTCGAACACCTAACTTACTGGACCACTGAACCGGCATGCAATGGTGTTAGTGTCTAACATCAATTGGTACATGATCTCAATCAAAAATTTAGTATGAATTCATTATATTTCGTGGTTATTTGGTGTTAGAATCAAGGAAACATTAAGGATGTGTGATGTAATAGTTGAGTGAAGTTTAGGGACATAAGATGAATTATGTGAAAATTTGAGAGGTAATGAAGGGTTTACATAAGATTAATTAGAATTAAAAAATTGTGAAGATGGGTTACGTAATAATTGAATAGAACTTGAAGGGTTGAATAAAGTGAGTGGAAATGTATGAGTGAAGGGGTGGTTTGAGAATTCGGTGATGGAAGAGAAATATAACAAAATAAAACTAATGACTAAAAAAATTGAATTACCAGGGTAATAATACTATGAATCGTATGTAAACCCTTCATTACCTCTCAAATCTTCACATAATTTATCTTATGTCTCTAACTTCACTCAACTATTACATCACCCATCACTAATGTTTCCTTGATCCTAATACCAAATAACCTCTCAACTGTTCTTGCACATACACATAAATATAGTTATTATTGATAACTTTCGTCATTCCAATTCTTTATGTTCACTTATGTCAATTGTTCCGTACTATTTTTAACCTCAATGTAAAATTCTAATACATAGTTGGTTGTAAGCAGCTGAGGAGAAACCATGAAATATAATGAATTCAGGTTATTTGTTCATTTATTTATCTAACACAT